TTCATGTAAAGCTTTTTGAATACGTTCAGTTACAATATTTTCAGTGCCTTCATCACTTCTTACAGTTGTTGGACATCCACCAACCATTTTAATTGATTCCATGTAATAACCACCAATCACCTATAAATTCGAAGAATATTTAAGCTAAATGTTATACAACTTATACTTATCCAATTAAATAAGGTGTGTAAAATACAGTACAATGGAAATTTTAATATGGCAACTTTTTGAGCCATTTTATTTAATATTATTAACTGAAAATCATGGTAAATTCTGTTTGCGCAAATTCTATTTTATTTTTTTATTTTTTGTATTAGAAAAATATAGTGTGCTACATGTGCGAAAGTTTCTGAAATTGTTGCATATATACTTTTTATAATCATCTTTTGACAATTTTTTGTAAATATCGAATGAACTGAATGCTGTCGATATGACAAATCTCTAGTAACGATCGAAACCTCTGTTGTCGTAACAGTTACAAGAAAAACTTATTATAAATTATAGTCTTCTTGAACTTTGCTGATTGTATAGATAAAATGAAAATAAAAGTAGCTTCCGGAAAATATAGTATCATTCAATTATTTAAACTGGATATTATGATAGAAACTCACCAATAATAAATTAAAATATAAATTATGTCCTCCAAATTTTATCGATTTTATCTTAAATCGATTTGTTTAAGCAGTTTTGCCTTAAATAAAGATATTTTGAGTATGGAAACTCAAAATTTATTATAAAAAAATTTAGAAGGACATGTGGTATTTGACAAGATTATTTTTTGAATCATTTTGTATGAAAAAAAGACAATAAACATATTTGGAGTAGATAATAATCTAAAAGCGGTAAAATTAATAATATATTTGGGTATTAACATAGATTTGAAGTATATTTTAGTTTAATAAAAGATATTAGAATTGTTTATAGTTGACAGTTCAACAGGTAAATACAGTTTTATCAAAAAACAAAAACGAAGAGGCGGTTTAATCAGGATAAAACTCAATGATTGTTAGGATCCCGAGCTCTTATTGGGTAAAATCTCAAAATTTTACTATTTTGGCAGATGAAAAAAATAATCTGAGTAATTATCAACTGTAAACATTATAATAATGGTAGAGGAGTTACATATTATAAAGTAACTTGTGCATTTCAATTTTCATTTAACCTAAAAGTAAAAGTACGCCACGTGCCCATACATCAAATTCTGATTATTACAACGCAAGTCACGAAATAGCTAATTACAGTTTTAAAAAAGTATAAATTGAATTATTAGTAGGTAAGTAACTTTGTAAAGCTATATCCATACTAACGAAAGATTGCGGAATATTTTGTTTGCTAGTTACCAAAACCTGTTTATGAAAACAAATAACAATAGAATTACCTTAAACATTATGGTAATCAATAAGGAACCTTCAGAAACAAATATTCAGGAACACGTTTAATAAACAAGCAAAAAAAAATTATCCTATGTATATAATATTTTGAAGATTCTTTAATTTGTAAAAAGAGTTTTCTTAATATTATTATTATTACTATTATTATTATTATTATTATTAGTAATAAACACTAATAGTAAATACGAGAGTTATCAAGAATGTGTAACTTCTATAAAAACATAAAAAAAATCCTAAAACTGCATTGACATAAAGATAATGAAAATATCTTTCAAATGAGGTATCACATGACCCTACTTTCAATTAGAAAATTTGAAGATTGTAAAGTGTATCTCGTTATAACAAAAATATCATAACATCTCTCTAATTTCATCTTGTTTATGTTTCATGTCTCTATCTATATCTACTTCCATTTAGCAGTTAAGAGAGGGGGGCACAATTTACGGCGGCATTGTATGTACGCACATAATAGTAACCATCGCTATGTGCTCTGTGCTACCGCTACCACAAGTCTAAATAATGTATTACTTACTTTTGGATCACTAGCTGTTGAACCTGCTCGAAGCCAAATAATTTGGCGAGAAAATCCATCGATGCATCCATTAATACATATACCATACGGTTTAAGCTTATCATAGGAGTCCATGTGCCATAAATAGTTAGGCCCTTTGTTGTGATACTGTCTGCGACGTAGGCGTTTTCTTTTCCTCATTTCAACACCTTTTGGATCTAAATATAAAAGCAATTCCCGTACGGTGTCTTGTGTAACAACTAAATTGTTCTGCAAACATTTTAAATGAAACCATCGATATCCATGTAGTTGAGAGGCTTGTTGTAATTCTTTTTCTATATACTTCGCAACATCTTCTAATTTAGAATATTTCTTTCTACGGTATAATTCAAGTTTGGATAACATTCTTTTTAATGAACGATGGGACATTTTAATGTTATGCAATAAATTTAAATAAGCTAGTATTTCTTTTTGTTCAAATCCCAATGAAAAATATTCCTGGACTAGTTCCTTTACACTTTTGTTCTAAAAAATATTACATTACAATATAACGTACCGTAAAATATATTTATTGTAAATGCTTACCTGCACCTCGTTATCCATTTTTCTAAACAATACACTAGCTGCAATCTGTAATATATTCTAAACTCTACTGAAGCAACCTGAACTAATGATTGATTTAACCTTTTAAAATGGGAATTTCAACCTAATTTCGAGATTTAAGTCGAAATTTCGAGTTTAAAGTCGAAATTTCGAGATTAAAGTCGAAATTTCGAGTTTAAAGTCGAAATTTCGAGATTAAAGTCGAAATTTCGAGAATAAAGTCGAAATTTCGAGATTAAAGTCGAAATTTCGAGATTAAAGTCGAAATTTCGAGATTAAAGTCGAAATTTCGAGTTTAAAGTCGAAATTTCGAGATTAAAGTCGAAATTTCGAGTTTGAAGTCGGAATTTCGACTTTAAAGTCGAAAAAAATTTTTTTTTTAATATGTGGCCCTTCTACGCCTTCGTAAAAAAGTCATGTGTAATAAGTATTTTTTTAAAAAATGTTTTAAATGTAGGTTAGGTTAAACCACCAGATGTCTTTTTGAATAAAATAATTAATTAAAACACATTTAAGACAATTATTAACTAAACAACACAAAATAGTTTTACAAGCACAAACAGTTTAAAAAAAAAAAAAAATTTAAGGAAATAATGTTAATTACTGAAAGTAAAAAGTAAAAAAGTAAAAATTATCAGACTGTCAAGACATCTATCTAGATTTTTTAACGAATCAATGCAGTAAACTGTAAATTTTAAATTAGCGGATAAATAGTGTACTAACGGAGGTGTTATTTACTGAAAGTGAGTATAGGTGGCGATGACAAAATTTATTGAAAGTAAAATATATTAAACTGAGAATTAGAAAACAAAAAATTTTTATACTAACAAGAAAATTAGAACACTAAACAAGAAAATATGAAAATTCATATGTAAAAAGGGAAAATTTGAAGCAGATAATCAAAAAGAAAATTACTGTTACAGGAAACGGAAAATAGGTTGACAGTACGAATGTCAAAAAAGAGGAAAGTCAAATTTTGGCGTATGACAACCACGTGGGAGAATTTGAATAAGCTTATTCAAATTCTCCCACGTGGTTGTCATACGCCAAAATTTGACTTAAATTTTTTTTTTTTTTTTTTAAACTGTTTGTGCTTGTAAAACTATTTTGTGTTGTTTAGTTAATAATTGTCTTAAATGTGTTTTAATTAATTATTTTATTCAAAAAGACATCTGGTGGTTTAACCTAACCTACATTTAAAACATTTTTTAAAAAAATACTTATTACACATGACTTTTTTAACTCGTTCTGTTAAACTTTTTGTAGCGCTTCCTTTATGGAATTAGTCAAGGTGAGTCAAGGTTATTGTTTAACTTTCTTTTGTGTTTTTTCTGTTATTTTGTATATGTTAAAGTCCGTTCATGCTTTTATAATTGTTTTTATTACAACTGACTCCTTGATATTCCATTTAGGTGTGCCTGATGATGAAGTGACAACTTCGAAACCGGTCGCCAATAAATTGACTTTGTGAGAAATAAAGGACTTTTTCTTTAACCTTTACACTTAATCACAATTGACAATTTTTAGTATGTATTATTTTTATTATTACATTTAATACAAATATCATAAGACAACGTAGTTTTTTCTCCTAACGGAGTTTTTTTTTGCGTTTTCTTATGATGGTTAAAAACGTTTATTAAACTATTTTTTGTTTACATATATATTATTTAATATTTTGTTATTATTTTTATGATGTAAATTATACTGTAATTGTAATTATTTTTGTGCCCATCCTGTAATTGGTTTTATACTGTTGGATGGTGTAACCCAAATAAATAAATAAATTTATGATACGTGCATAGAATTTCGCGGCCAAGTGCCCGGCGCCCGAACGGTCGGCGCCCGAACGGCTGCGCCCGAATGTCCTAGACCGTCATAAATCTGATCAACCTTTTTTGACAAAAATTCTATCTACAAACAGGATCGTATTGAATACATTTTGGAATAAATTATTTCTTATTTTTGAATTTTTTTGAACAAGTTATTTGAAAAATTATTTGAAAAAGTTATTTGAAAAAGTTATTTGAAAAAGTTATTTGAAAAAGTTATTTGAAAAAGTTATTTGAAAAAGTTATTTGAAAAAGTTATTTGAAAAAGTTATTTGAAAAAGTTATTTGAAAAAGTTATTTGAAAAAGTTATTTGAAAAAGTTATTTAAAAAAGTTATTTGAAAAAGTTATTTCAAAAAGTTATTTGAAAAAGTTATTTGAAAAAGTTATTTGAAAAAGTTATTTGAAAAAGTTATTTGAAAAAGTTATTTGAAAAAGTTATTTGAAAAAGTTATTTGAAAAAGTTATTTGAAAAAGTTATTTGAAAAAGTTATTTGAAAAAGTTATTTGAAAAAATTATTTGAAAAAGTTATTTGAAAAAGTTATTTGAAGTTGTTTATTTTAATGACTTAGGATTCACTCTGTATTCCAAACCGTAATAGATACGATGTCAATTAATTGGAAAAAATATTATTTTGAGAAGAAATACAATAGTATTTTTACTTACTTGTTCGACGGTCCAATCGCATGCCGAAGAAATTTCATATAGCTCTGCCTGTTTGAGGAAACCCCACATCACCCAAAATAGTGCAGAAATCAATTGACTTCGAGCCTAACAAAAATATTCTTTACATTTGTCATATTCATTTTGTTATAATACAAATGTTTTTTATCTAACGACGAACAACTACTATACTAATTTTGTTTACAAATATCAAATTACAAGAATTCACGGTGTTATCCACGTAGTTATCAAATTATGATGAGAGAGTATGGGAGAGCCTTGGTACAAGGATTGTTTAAGGTTATAATTCTGAATTGATTGAATTGACATAAGGCTCTAAAATGCACAAAAGGCTTTCAAAATTACATTAAAGAAGTTTGCTTGCATTCTTAAAGACAATTATTATCAGTTTAATGTATTTTTCTCGTTGCAACTATCATAGTTGAAGATGATTTCCAGGAAAGTTCGCAATTAATTTTGAAGTGTCACAGCAGCGTAAAGCAAGCGTGGTAGACGTAAGTACCGATTCATTCATAAAACGCACCTCAGATAAACAAGCTCGTATAAACTATCCCACTATGAATAAAAACGTTTAATTGATGAAACCTCTACAGCACATTCTTATATTGTAACTATTGTTAACTTTTGTTGATATATTGTACTAGTAGTCGGCCGGGGTCAAAGTGAATAACAAAAGAATTACAAGCGTTTTAAGTTGGTGGCCGACTACTAGAACAATATAAAAATAAGCACTTTGCTAGTAGTCGGCCACAAAATTTTTTCTCTATTTTTTGCATCTCTTGGTCTAAAATTTGCCTTTTTTGCTATTTTAGGCCATGCCTAAACATCCGAAGAGAGAAATCCACATGTACTCAAAAGAAAGCTTGAAAAGAGCTATAAGAAAGATTAAAAATTGCACCAAAATTAGAGATATATGGAGTTTAGGACCGGATTAAGGGACGTGTTAGTGAAAAACCACGAAAGATGGGTCCAGTCCTGTTTAGAAGCTTAGAAAATGAGAAAACTATAGTTGACTGGTTAATTCAGTTCTGTTTTTTTTTTGTATGTTTTCGTACATTTTAATTTTTTTATCCTTATGTATTTTCTAAATATATTATAAAAAACATATTTGTTTTCAATGTTGGCTATTGTTACCCACTTGTCTCATTTTTACAAAGAACGTACGACTGAATAGGAACTTTTTAATTTAAATTGTTACAGTACTGATCTGAAGTTATTTAACTGATAAGTGTTAAGGCAATTAAAAAACTTAAAAGAGCATGATTAGTATTATTCTCCATCAGAATATATCTAACAAAACATGGTGGCAGCGGTAAAAGCTTGTAAAAAGTATTGAAGGGTAAAAAAGTAATTCTAACCGAATAAATGAAACATGGTTGAAACCAAGACCGGGCAACAAGTGAAAGCCATGTCGTCGACAACAATTGTCATGCCAGGCCAATGAATCCGCCCAATTGCCTAATTCTTGGCCTCAATGGAGAAGGCGTTTCGAGCGTTATATGTCAGTGTCAGGTCAGGATACAACACCTGACTCAGAAAATCGACATATTAATATATATTATGGATGAAGAATCAGATGAGTTATTAGTCCAATTTAACCCAAAGCCCTCGACTTACCAGCTAACAATAATTGATTTTAAGAACTATTTTATTCCAAGGAGAAACGTAATATTTAAATGATTCAAATTTAACTTCAGAGTACAACAACCAGGCGAAACTATAGACAATTTCATTACCAGTCTTCACTCTCTGGTAGAACACTGTGATTATGGAGCCCCGAGAGAAGAATTAATATGTGATAGGATAGTGGCGTCGGAATGATAGATGGAAAGACGAGTAAAAGAATGCAGCTATTACCTAACTTAACCTTAGGAGAGTGTGTCATTGCCGTAAAACAAGCTAAGATGTAGGCTAACCAGTCACAAGAACTCCGTCGAGAGGGAACTCAGGTAGCAAGAATACATGAGACAAAAAGCAGTGCTGGAACTTCAGCAGCAGTCCACGTTCAGAAAAAGAAATGTACCTATTGCGGACTTCAGTTCCACCGCAGGGAGACTTGCCCTGCCAATCGTTCTCAATGCCGAAAATGCCAGAAAATGGGACACTGGGCTTCAGTTTGTAGAAGTTTGAGCAATGAGAGTAAAAACACTCAAGAAAAACATAAGGTCAGATCTTTAAATTATGATATAGTGTTAGATTCTCAAAATTCATATTCTTTTTTTGTTGAGATTATTCATGTAAACCTGGTAAATGGTACTGAATGGACCATTTCTTTTCTAATTAGAGAGCTTAATCAGAAAGTAAATTTCCTCATATATTCAGGTGCAGATATTTCTTTCATTTCAATCGGTCATTTGAGAAAGCATTGTTCAAGCTCTTGAATGTAGGTGAAGGATGCGGCAACACTCTACCGTGCCGTACCAGAAGAAGACGTGGTATGGCCGCCAGGGTGCCTTTGCTCGAATTTAAAAAGCGAGCAGGCACTTGACTTTAAAAGTACCTGCGACCTTTTTTTGTTGCGTCGAGGAGCACTATTACTACAACCCTAAAGCTAATCCCTATATATTTTTCTCTTATATTTAAATATTTAAAGTGAATAAATTTTTATTACACTTATTACACGTTATACATAAAAAATTGGTCCTTCGATCCAGATTTAATAAATTAACAGCGACAATCTAGTGTTTGGTGACGCCGCGAGAAGTGCCATCCTATTTTATTGTTCCTTTTTCAACCGATTCGATTGAATTCAGTTGTTGTAATAACAGTATTTCATTCTTACTAAAACCAATTAATGGTATTTTCGCTCCGACTTAGGACACTTCAATAAAAACAGCTCGATTTAGACAGTTTTTATAATTTTAGCTCTGTTAACCTTTAACTACTCGCGTCGGTGTATAAAATACACCACTTGCACTAAAAATGCTCTTATTCTTGTTGATTACCGATTCCGTCCCTGTGCTACCACCTAACCTATTATTGAAGTGTCCACTAGAACCTTACTCAGTGGCGCTGTGATTGCTGTAGTAAGAACGTAGTTATTTGGTGTGAAATCTATAGCCGTTCTGTTTGGTGTACAGAATACACCACGCGAGTAGTTATGTGAGTATATTTTACATATTTTAAATTTAGTTGCTTGAGGTAAAATATATACTTTGCTATTTGGTTTGTTCATAAAATCAACAATAAATTTGGTAAAATAAAAGTACTATTTTTGTAGGAATCGGGTACCAGTTAGAGATGCAAAACGTCTCACGGAAAATGAACTTGAGACTATGGCTCGCGCTTTATTTGACGAAGAAAGTGAAGAAGAAGTTGGGGGAGAATCAGATACGTTAGAAGATGAAGCTATAAAGGAGAGTGATCATAATATAGAGTCGGAAGAAGAACTAAATGACACAGATGAAGAACAGGAGAATTCAGATCAAGAAATGAATAACTCAGATGTAGATGAGGAAAATGAGAATAGTGAGACCAATGAAGAAGATAGTGAAGAATATTTTGTGGCTAGAGATAAGAAAATAAGAATGTTGTGGAAGAAAACTCCAATTGTGAGTAAATTTAGTAAAACAAATAAAAAAAATATCGTCAAAATATTTCCTGGACCTAAGCAATGTGCACGAGATATTACTGATGAAAAAAGTGCTTTCGAAAATTTTTTTACTAATGATATAATTAAAATTATTCAATGCACAAATTTAGAGATTTTAAGATTGCGAACAAATTATCAGCGGCCAAGAGATGCAAAAAACATCACAAAAACGGAAATATTGGCTTTTATAGGATTATTACTTCTAGCAGGAACCAAGAAGCAGAACCACACACATTTTCTTGAATTATGGACAACTGATGTAACTGGCTCAGAGATATTTAGAGCTTGCATGAGTTATAATCGGTTTTTATTTTTGCTAACTACTTTAAGATTCGATAATAAAAATACTAGATGTGATAGAAAATTAACTGATAAACTTGCTCCTATCCGATTAGTTTTAGACAGTTTTGTGGACAACTGCAAAAAGAATTATAATTTGGGAGAACAAGTAACAATTGATGAAATGTTGATACCTTTTAGGGGTAGATGCAGCTTTCTTCAATACATTCCAAACAAACCTGCAAAATATGGTTTGAAAGCGTATGTGTTATGTGACTCCAGAACATTTTACGTTAGCAACTTAGAGGTGTATTGTGGTCAACAGCCAGAAGGGCAATACCAAAGGTCAAATACGCCCACTGATATCACTCTTCGTTTACTTCAACCGTGGAAAGGCAAAAACCGAAATTTGACATGTGATAATTGGTACACTAATTACCCTTTGGCTAAAAAGCTTTTAGATGATAAATTTACAATTGTTGGAACACTAAAAAAAAATAAAAAGGAGCTGCCGTCAGAATTCTTACCAAATAAAAAGAGAACACCTGGTTCGTCTATCTTTGGATTTCAAAAAGACGTGACCATTGTATCCTATGCCCCCAAAAAAAATAAGGCTGTAATTTTGCTTTCGACAATGCACACTGATGCTGCAATCCATCCTGAAACTAATAAGCCAGATATTATAATGGACTACAATTGTTATAAAGGAGGCGTTGATACTGTGGATAAATTATGTGGCTCGTATTCCGTTCTCAGAAGGACAAGAAGATGGCCTTTAGTTTTATTTTTCCAATTGGTGAATATAGCAGGTATAAATAGTCAAATTTTATACAACGCCATACATATCGAGAATAGCCACAAATACAGAAGAGTTTTTCTGAAAGAATTGGCGATGTCTATGATGAAGCCGCACCTTTCGGAAAGAGCTATCCTGCAGACCTTACCTTAGGATATCCAGTGTTTTCTAAAAAGATACAAACCACCTCAAGAGGAGTATAGCGAAGAACCTCCAGCAAAAATACGAGGAAGGTGTTTTTGTTGTGGAAGACAGAAAAATAGGGTGACAACAATTTCGTGCCATACATGTCACAAACCAGTATGCAAGGAACATTCAATTAGTAAAATTTCTTGTCCGGAGTGCAATAATATTAGCAATGATGAGGATGCTAGCGAGTAGTAGTTTACACAAACTCTTTTTGGTTTTTTTTTTGTTTGA